ATCTGGTGACACTGCAGCATGCAGCCCTCCCCCCATTGCATCAGCTGCAGCGCCGCCAGAACTCCATTGAATCACGCGCGAAGGAATTCGTCCGAGAGATATAGTACATACCTTCCAAACGCATCTATTCGCGTGTTGATGCGGTACGAAACGGCGGCACAACGTGACGAACTCCGTTCGCTGTAGTAGAACATCAGTAAGCCCCATAGCACAAGCAGAAATCAACCGATTTACGACGTAATGAGCGCGTTCTGTTCTCCCTAAGAATGCGCATATACTGCAAAAGAAACGAAGTCAATCGGACGAATATTGAGTGAGCTAGAGGAGCTGGGAGTACCCCTGCATGGTGGTCCACACCAGGATCAGGGCCACCTACCTGATTTGGGCGAGGTGTAATCGAAAAAAGCGCCCTGTGGATTAGATCAGTAAGTGCCTGCCTAATGTGGCCAAAGAGATAAGAAAGCGCCTGTTATCTATTGAGATAACAGGCCCTGCAGCCTCTCCCGGGGCCTCTTACCGCATTTGGAGGGCAAATACAATCTCCGACGCTTATGTCAGATTAGTCGCTAACGTACGGCCGTTGGTGCATAAGGGGTGCCTGGGCGCGTACGGCGTGTGGTGCATCAGAGTTACGACAGCGGCTGTTACTTGCACCGCTGTTCTCATTCCTGCACTTGTGCTTCACCCTTGCTCTCGCTCGCGCTCTCACTGCCCTCGCTCGCGCCCTCACCCCCCACCCTTGCCCTTGCCCTTGCCCTTGCCCTTGCCCTTGCCCTTGCCCTTGCCCTTGCCCTTGCCCTTGCCCTTGCCCTTGCCCTTGCCCTCAAGGCCCAATGGTTTGTGCTCGCTCTCGCTCTCGCCCTCGTTCTCAAGGCCCAACGGTCCGGCCTTGCCCTCACGACTCGTCATCAACACCGCGGCAGGCCTTCACTCCAATCATGGTTGCCTTTTTCTCAATTTCTTTGCATTGCTCTCCATTGTCCACGTTGTCGGGTCGCCTGCGCTGGTGCACAGCTGCGTGCATGGTGCACGTGCATTCTTTCATCTCTCCCATATTTGGTTCTTGTGCTCCCTATCAGACTGGGGACTCGCCCACTCACGCAGTCATAGATTCGTAGAATTAAGCATGGTTTCAGGCTGTACAATGCATTGTTGACCCCCGTACCATCCTGGTGTGCGCATATTCATGTGATTAGGTTATTCCAGCCCCGGGTGTGGCCGTGCAGGTGCCGCACCCACCTGCTTCTCTCCTGCACCTCTCACCTTGCATCCCTCGCATATTCGTGCATTTTGATGTATCCCCCCACATCGTGCTACCTGCATGGGCGGATACGATGGGTTACAATAGGCAAATACAGTCGCTATAGGCACTGACTAGTGCCTATATAAGTCCGCGACCTCACAATATAGACCAAGCTCACATGATGTAAGGTACATATAACTATGACAACTACACAGGTATGCATGGTACTGTACATTAGGTGCCTGGTTTGCTGATGTCCACACGTACGTGAGTACATAAAGGTGTGTGTAGGATAGGGTAGGTAGGATGGGACAACTGGACGTGGGATAGGAAAATGACGTATGGGACCTATAAACTGGCTTTTGTTAGTACTCTAATGTGCAGACTCACTCACCTTTGTGGTGCTAGTGATGTCACCTATTCTTCCATTGCTGCTGAAGGATAATTTTGATCCTTTATCTTCTTTAAACTGGTCCCTGGAGGACGTTTGTGATCTAAAAACTTGCTGATGTACAGCTTGCAGTTTTGAAGGACCTTTGTAATCCTACACTTAGCTTGATGGGAGGACCTTTGTGGTCCTATGACTGCTGATCTTCTGGGTACACCTATGTGTGAACTCTGTTAGTATTAGCTGGTTCAGTTGGGGACTCGTTGGATATTCTGCTATGGGAACTAGTCTGGACGTCTCCTGCAGTGGCTATGCAAAAATGGGTAGAGTTTCCCCTACTATGGTACACACAGTTGTGCTCTGGCCTATAGATCCAGGAACTAATCCTGCTAAATCTACTACTTCAGAGCTCCTTAAACTCTGGGAATGTGGATCACAGGACTTGGCCTATGGATCCTATACTATACCTGATGCTACTGCAATTGCCCTGCCCTGTGGCTTAGCGGTAGCACTATAGCTGTTCTGAGTCTTGATGGTGGTGGTTGATGGAAGAGATGTAAACTTGTTGTTATTTTATTGAAGGCTCCTCAGGTAGGCTTATATACCTTTCCTGAATGGATACCAACTAAGCTAAAAACATACTACCACAACTGTAACAGTTCTAAGGTGGCTGCTGTAGAGGTTATATTCTGGGGTTTTATGTGATTTTTGTTGTTTATGGGGTTTTCTGGGGTGTACAGGATCTTTGCCTTCAAATTCTGGGGTGCTACTGGCCTGGGGTGGTGCTCTGGGGTTTTGTTCATTTATTTGGGGGTTTCCCGGATTTTCTGGGTGCTTCTGGGGTCTTCTGTCTTCTTCTACCCTTTTTTATCTGATTAGAGAACATCTTTAAGTAAACCAAAAAATTCTAAACCATCCTGGGTACCTCCTGGACTTCTTAAATTCTAGGGGACTGGTGATGTCATAGGGGGCCTAGCCTGGGGTCTATTATGTCATGGGGTTGGACTTCTGGGGTAGTCTATGAATCTGGGGTGGTGGCTGGATTTTGAGGTCGTTTTTTCTGGGGTTTTGACAATGTAGAGGATACTTATGATGTAGAGGGCGCTAAAATGAGGGGAATGACTCAGGGATGACTCAGGAGCAATATAAGGGGTCCTGATGATGTAGGATGACTCAGATAATGATGCAGAGGGTACTGTTTTGAGGTATAGAGGCTTAGAATGGGGTAAAAATGATGCAATAAGCTAAGCCCTGGGCCTCCTGAGCCTTTCCTTGCTCTGGAAAATTGTAGAAAATTGTGTAAATATTCCTAGATGTTCCTCCCATGAGTAATGTGGTATAAGTCATCACTTAGCCCTTGTACTTTGTGGGTAATGAGCTTTTCTCAAGTCCTGGACCTAGGGGAAATCAGGGAAAATCAGAGAATAATCCCCTGAGTTTGGTCTTTGGTGGTGTGAGTTGTTGCTGGGTCCTAGCTTTTCAGTGGTCTCCTTGCCATGTTCAGGTACCAATCCATTTTGGTGCATGACAGCAACTGCAATGAAGCCTGAATTTTACATACAAACAATAAACTCCCAAGGCCCTAAGAAATCCAATATCTGTGTAGTCTCCTTTTTTCACATTAATGACTGAGTTCCTGAGTCTAGCAACTGACAGGGCTCATAACCTGTGGTGAAAGGTCTCAATCATTGTGGTAGAAGACCGTAAAGGGCTAAACTACCTGTGGTGAAAGGTCTAAAGGTACAAGGTGAGACTATGCTACAAAGGGGAAAGGTCACAGCAGACTTGTCAGGCTGCACATAGGTGCAGGTCACTGCATAGGTTGACCTGATCTGACCTAAAAATAACCTGTAGGTTTAGGTCATCTGGGTTCAGGTACCTAGTTTGTAGATCAACCCCAACTCTACATCAAAGCTAGCACAAATCATTGACCTAGAAGGCTGACCTATATGATCTGTATATTGAAGATATCAGCTAACTTTAGTGCAAATTAGTAGAGAAAATGTGTCAGTTGTAGTCTAATGCAGCAGAATCCACATATCCAGCTACAGCCCAAGCATCACCCAGGCATTGTGGCTTGAACAAGTGCAGAATTATGTACAATATACAGTATATAGAATATTACATTTTGTAAATGTTGGCACAACCATTTTGAAGACTTCAACGCATTGTATCAGGGCACAAGCCTTGTCCATCTCAGGGCCAGACATTTATATTTGGTTTGTGGTCTATGTTTCTTTATATCCTCTTTGCTCTTTGTCTCCTATTGTGTCTCCACTCTTTGTGCAAGTCCCATTTGTAAATGTTAAAGGTATATTGAAGTTTGGGAATGTATGGTAGTCTACGTTTAAAATGTAAGCTAGTTGTTGTGTTCATGCGTGTGTTTGATTATATCCTGTGATAGTATATCTCAAACATATTAAAGGACACATACAAACAGAGATCACATGTAGGTTGACCTGTAGGTACTACATAGAGCTCAAAATGGAGTGTTATAGGCACCCAAAAGTCAATCTCTGTCCACCAACATCAAAATTGCCATTTGTTCTTGCACCAGCACTGTGCACAGATCTAAACAAATCTGCTAGACAAGTGAGTAGCTTGAGCCTTGCTTGACCAACCATAATTCTGGGCTTATAGCAGCATGGGACAATTTAGATGCCCATTGACTACAAAATTTGATGGCTAGCCATGTCTACCACTGAGAGGAGCCTTTTCTATGTCTACTGAGGCCAATGGGATGTAAAAAATCATGCTCCCAAATCCCAGGCATCAAATTTTGGTCTCACCAAAAGGGGTCCACCTATCAACATAAGCCATCTGGGGACCCCCTCCCCTCCACTACCTGGGGTCTCAGTGTCTCCTGGTGAATGCCTCCTGGCTTATAGTGCTCTGCATCCTCTAATATGTTGGTCTGTTGATCACAGCATTGAATCTTTCATTTTGCTGATGCACCAATGGGTTGGGTGTGCTAAGATGTCCTCCTGCATGACACAAAAAATAATACAGGAATCATACAGCAGAAATCATAGTCTAGTATGTACTTTATGATATATTCATATCAGCTTTCCCTCCAAATCTCTTACACATACAAATCTATTGGTGACCAGACACAACCTATGCACAGAGATGAGGATCCAAGTGTGAGGGTTTAGCTCAGGTGATATTTATTGCCTACCTGTGTGAGGGTGGGGGCGAACCACAGGCAAACACCTCATGACTGAACTAGCATCAGGAAGAATGATATATGCAAAGTCCAAGAAGTGAATGTCTGCTAATCATTTCGAGGCCCAGTGATATCTTATGCAGTGCCTACATGTACAACATATCAGCATATGTTGCTCATCCCATCAGCTGTGTGACATCTTCAGGAGGATACTTTGTTTGAGCAAAGGTCAGGATCCTACACATCTGTTAGGACAAGCAAGAACATAGCATATGAACAACATCACCTCTTCAAGCTCTGAATGTACTTCCGGCTGACTTCGTCATTAAGCACATGCGCAACCTGATCTGCGGAAATCTTCTCTCGAGCGGACCGCTCGTGTATACTGGACGGTAGTCAGTGCTTTGTACTTTGACCTGTGCAAAAAATAAACTTACCCGACCATCGTAACGCCGATGGGCCACGGAGCATTGCCGATCGACAAACGAAGGTACGAGTCATTCGCCCTCTGGTACTGCCGTTTCTGCATATAGTGCACGATTTCGGCGATTCTAGCAAGCACGTCTGGGGGCAGATTCTGCATGCGAGGGATCAGTAGGCTGACAGGGCACCGCCGCAATTAGAACACGCACCCTTGCTCGTAACAGCTTGAAGAGTGGCTTTAGATACTCCGCAGATTGGCGTTGCGTAGCTGCCGCCAGCTTGCCCTGCGTCGTACGCTTGATATTTTCTGTGAATAGACGTTAGGTCCGTGAAGGTTTCACGACTACAGGAAGTATCTCACCAGGGCGCTCGTCCATCCATTGCTCCCATTCCTTCAACGCTCTCTTCATCGCGTAGTAGATGATGGGGTACAACTTGTCCGGGTCCGTCTTCACAAGTCCGAGGTCCAGAATCTCGCTGACCAATGATGCCTCGGAATCCTTCTTCTTGCCCTTGTCGCGCGTAGACTCGTCCTGGACTTGCCTGTCCTTCATCTGGCGCTCGACGTTCTCCACGTCCTCAAGCGCCTTCTTGAAGTCGTTCTGGCCACCGTGCCGCTCATGATCCTTCTCCTCGATGAGCTCCAACGCGCGTAGCCTCAGTCGGCGGTCCTTGTCGGACTCAGCAAAGAGTCGAATGGGCTGGCCCTTTGCACGGAGGCGCCGAACGGTCTCCTCGTTGGAGATGTTGAACGACAACGCGGAGTCAGGTGCGGGCGAGCCGGTCGAAGGGCCGCCCTCTGGGTGTGGGGAGTTCGAGGATCTGCGTGCACTACCAGCCTGTTCTCCACGGATATAAATGAGACGAACGGCAAGCAGGGTATGGGCGCAGGCCACACTCACCTTTGCTGCCGCCTTCTCTCGCCTGCGCTCTTCGCGTTCGCGTTCCTCGCGCTCGCGCTCTTCCCGGAGTCTCGCCTCCTTCTCCTCTCTCTCCTTCTTCTCCTGCTCCTCTTTGAGGCGTTCGAGGTCGCCTCTGCGCATGTACTTTGTGGGACGAGCGCCCTCCGATGCAGGGACGGCGAGCGCCTTGCGTTTGACTGCGATTTCAGCCTTGAGGGTGTCCATGATGGTGGTGGTGCGGATATACGACGAAACAAGCAATATAGACTAGAAATACAAGTGTGGATAGAGCAGAGAGCAGCAGCAGAAGGTGGTGGCTGAGGACAAGCGGGGGTGATGGACGGAGGCCGAGACACGCGCCTGCCGGGACTGGGTCGGGCGAGTCCGCGCGCGCCCGTTTCTCAACCCCCTCAACGCTCCGGCCACGCCCTCCTCCTTGCCTCCGCCCCTCTCTGCCCTACGCACGCTCGCCCCAGCACTCGCCATGTCTGAGTCTGACCTCTCCAGGTTTGTCCTGCTCGAGTCTAATCTTTGCTTTGAATTAAATTTTGACGCCCCGTCATCGTAGCAAATACGTCCTTCAGACCGCCGGGTTCGACGGTGAGCACGCTCGTCTCCGTTACAACCGCCCCCTGCTAAATTGTCCTGCAGCCCGTTTCCCCAACACCAACCAGACCCGTCACTGGTCTGTACCCTCTCCCATCCTATCCTCGCCCTTCAGTGCACGCTCTGACGTCGCGCCTCGCAACTACCCCTTCCTACCGCACCTCCACAGCTTCCAGAACTACACGGACTACTTCAAGTGCATCGCCGCCAAGGGCGAGGACTACGCGCCTTGCAAGCAGTTCAAGCGCGCCTACAACTCACTGTGCCCCAGTACGTACCCCTCCACCGCCTCTCCGCCTTACTCTGACCACGCCCTTCCCCTATCCGCTCAACCCTTCTCTCTGGTGTAGACGAATGGGTACGTGGCCGCCATCCACTCTCCAACCCTACTTCGCATTAACCTGTTCCGCTGCAGATCAACAAGTGGGATGAGCAGCGCGAGAACGGTACCTTCCCCGCTTCCCTCGAGCCCTGAGAGCTGGTCCGAAAGCTAGATCTACGGAACATCGTGTCTGCTACGAGGGACCAGAGAGCCCGTAATCGTAATCCTGTCCTCGTCATTCGCATGTATGCCAAGTCATGGTGTCCCGCACGCCTCGTCCAATGATGTGCACCGCATATCACCATATTATATGCATCAACGACGGTAGCATCCTGGGTATCTACAATGGAGGTACTGGAGCACGGTACGATGGCTACGCTACTCGACCAACAAGGTATAAAATTAATCAATACAAACGTCCGCGAACGTTACGGTAAGAGCTAGCGAAAGGAATGTGTGTGTGAGGTATATACTGCCAGAGGATCCTGTCCAGCTCGCATATACTAGCAAGCCGAGTAAAGTAGTCTATCTATATGTACAGCGCATAAGACCCTATGACCGGTCTATGGTCGCTGCGCCCTTCCAGCCTGCGCATCCCTCGGTCATCCAGCGTGTCGTACTTCAGACACACGACGTCTCCCCGTTTGGGGAGCGGCGGCGGTGGTCTCGGCGTCCCAGGCGACTCCACAGATGGCGTTGCGACAGCCTGCTGTCCGTCTCGATACAAGAACGGTAGGAGCCAACGGAAGACGGGCGGGCCTGACGACGGTGCGGAGTTCGGTGCTGGTACCAGTTCGGTCGGGCTCTCCTCGCCAGCGGCAGGGGATCCGGACGCAGTCCCGAGGATACCTCCAACGTTGAGTACCGGCGAGATGGTGTTCGCATGTCGCATAGGCACCCCGCTAGCCCCACTTCCGGAAACCGGCACTGCGTCGTGCGATAGCGCGCGAGCCAGGGAGTGTTCCCCGGAAGCTTTCGGGAAGGAGTCGACCGACCGAACTTGGGTTATCCTTCGTAACGGGTTGCCTTTCTGACGAGTGGGTGAGGGAACGGAGGTTGCGGAGGCTTGCCGGATGTCAAGGCTAGGACGGCTCGGAATCTGTTGTGGTTGAAGATGGTGGGAGACTTGGTCGCCCGCACTCGCAGGGTGCTGCCCTATCTCCGGATGGTGCATCGACCATGTCGAATCTCTGCGAGCTCGAACGGACGATGGTCGGAAAGCATGGAAGATCTGGCCCATCTTCGCACGGAATGGCATGAACCGCTGAGACTCGCCGTCCTCAGTGTCGGACTCGGGGTCGGGCCTGATTGTCGTCTTCCACAGTATTCGATCGCACCTATGTACATCGCGTCGTCAGCACCCTGCTTAGCCTGTACGAGCAACTGAACCTACCAGCTCGGCACCCTCTGCTTGTGCGAGGAATCGTACACCCCCTTCTCCTCTTCCTCCTCCAGGTCCACGTTGTTCTCGCTGAGCGCGAGATGCTTATGTGGTCGAGCATTCGCTGCATCAAGTAGCGCTGCCTGGAACTCCTTATTCCTGCCTGCCCTCGTCTGTCTCGGGTCCGCCGGGTCCACGGCCGTCGTAGGCGACGGTGTCGGCACCTCCTCCGTCGTGTTCTCGCTCTCCCGTCGCGACGGCGGCGGTGACTTAGCTGACGCCCAGCTCTGCCTCCACTTGCCGCGCTTCTTCTGCCTCTGCCCCTCTCCAGACTGCGCATGTCCATGCCTCTGAGATGTCGGACTGCCCGAAGCGGTCCAAAGAGCAACCCACTTCTGCTTTGCCTTGTGCGCAGCAGCTGCAGACCACATCTTGTGTACCAGCAAGTTTGACGTGCTCGCGCTGGCGGGTGGTGACTGCCCGAAGCCGCCAGCGGAAGGCGGAGAGCTGTCCAACTCGTCGTCCTGATCGAAGTCAGTATGGCGAGATCGAACGGATGTCCATGCCGAAGAGACCACAGAGGCAGCCTCGCCGTCATACTCCATCTCGTCGTCGACCTCGCCGTGCTGGGACGCGTGGTCTTCGGGCATAGTTGTGCCTTCATGCTCCTGCTCAGCGACTTCCGACAGCAACTTGTCGTGCCGCAGACCACTAGTAAGAGGTTTTGGGGACGGTCGTTTGAAGGACAGGTGTCGTGAGCGTTTGTAGACGTCGTACTTGAATGTGGGCGGGAACCGAATGGCCGCTTCGTTGAAGCCGGCAAACCAGTTGCTGTGTGCCATCACTTGACGTAGTTGGTCGAACTCGAGGGCTTGCTCGTAGTCTGCGGGCACGGTCATAAATTTAACGATGTTTAGGCAGCTCAGGCATAACAATACCTTTCCGGGAGATGAGCCAGTCAGCGTGTAAGCGAGTAATGTCGAGCCTAAAGTTAAGATCCCCGAAGACAAAACTGAAATCGAATCGGTCGGTGATATCTGCCACAATGTCAGGACGCATCCTATGAACCTGTCTACTTGAAATGTTGCACCTTCAGCCATAATGCGTGGATCGTCCGGGGGAAGAAAGTCGTCAACCGACAACTCAGCCTGAAGCGATAATGAGCGTGGGGTTACGTAGTTGCAAGGCAAGGCTGACCTTGATCTTAGCGAAGTCTGCGAGCCGGTGATGCACACGTCCCTCGTGCGCTACGAGCATATTCAGCTCAAGTCGAACGGCACATGAATAACAACCTTACCTGCAAGGTGAGCGTTGATGAAGAGCAAGGTTGTTCCGGCCAGTTTCACACTCACACCGACGCCGCCCTTGTTGCCTACACGGCCGCCGATGAGCCCTGTGGTCACTGCAGATCTGGAGGTACCTTCCGAGACGGTTAGAGGGCTTCAGCGGGTGAAGCCAAGGTTACCTACCTTGGACGAGCGGCTTCGCATCTCGGTGGATAAAGACTGCGAGGTAAAGACCCATCATACGCTCCTTGGTGAGAAGCTCGTAGGGTCCCATTCGCTGGACTTCGTGTGAAGTCTTCAGGTTCAGATCGGACGCGACAGCACCGTTAAGACTTGCAGCTGGCGAGTGGCTATACCAGTTCTCGAGAACGGAGGACCAGCTGGAAGGAGGGTGATGGTGCTCATACGACTTGTCGGTTGGAGACATGAGGTCTGCTTCCGCGCTCTTGCGATGCATAGATTCATCAGCATCGACAGGGAGGAGGGAGTGTCTTGAACGAGATATGTCTTTCTCCTTGTTGAGCTTGAATCCTGCGCCAAGGGCCATGGGGATGCCTGTCAAAGTGAGATGAGGATGGCGGTACATGGCCGAGCGGCAGGAGGAAATAGCAGACTAACCCGACGCGCTTGGACACTCCTGACCTGCACTTATGATGATGTCAAGTTAGAGGTAGGAGGGGATATTGGGCGAACTTACACAATCACAACATGGTATGGATGAGCTGCATCAAGAGGGAAGGCAGGCAAAGCGGACGCCTCCGAACACTCTGGAGAAGAAATGGCGGGATTGGATAGTGAAACAGAACCGAGGAGTTCCTCGACATCGCCCTGGGCTGAGTGAGCAAAGCAGCCCGCAATCAAAGTAGGATGAAGACGGACCTTGGGTAGGGAGTCGTGCATGTTCCATGTTAGCAGCCGTACCTTGATGAACTTGGGTGGTTCTGGAGGAGGGGGCGGGGGAGGCGCGGGGATATCGGGCGGAGGAACGGCAGTTGACGGATGGTGCTGGGATGGAAAGAGAGCTTGAAGACGAGCGAGGACGTTGGAGTGTGCTATACCATCCCATTGTTAGCCATGCCCAGTGAATCGGATGTACGGCGTACGTTGTCGTGGAGGGCGGGGTGTAGGTTCTCTAGAGATGTCAGGACTGTGCGCGGGGGCGCCAAGGTCGAGTGCGGGGATCTCAAGCGGAGGTGGGGATTGGATGGGTGGAAGAACCATCTGGGCGGCGGCCATCGCTAGAAACAGCGCCAAGCATGTACGCGACGGCGGCGACGGGCGTGCGCGGGCGGGAGAGCGAGCGGAGGATGAGAGGGAGGAAGAGCAGAGGGAAGGAGGGGACGAGCGCGAACGGACGCCACGCGCTCGCTCAGACGCGTCGCGCGCGGCCGCGAACCTCTCCTCTCCCTCTCATCCTCCTAGGACCCCCTCCCTCCACTGCCTCCTCCTCTCGCCGCGTCTTGGCTTTCTGCTCTGCTGTGCTACGACCTTCACGAATCCACCACATATGACCACCACCTCTAACACGACACGCGCACAATGAATGTCAACCAGTTGCACCCTCAGCCACCCCCGCAGCTTCAGCGAACATCTACGGAGGCCTCCGAGAAAGAGGCAGACGTTCGTATCTTTATTCGTATATTCCTTGTCGCGACTCACTTATACCCTTAAACAGTTCCTCGCGCTCAGGTTGTTGAACAAACGTTCACGCCTCCGCCTCTCTCCTCAACCTCTTGACCTTGATGTCCTCCCTGCCAAAGCTCGTCTTTTTGCTGTGGCAAACCGCGCAGGCTGGTGTGCTGCAGCTATTCGCAATTCGGACGGCTCCTATGGTATGTCGTTCTTTCTTTCATCCTCACACTCCGTCTGACATCATTCTAGCCCTTGTTCTCTCTCCCTTGAACGACCTTCACCCCGTGTTCTCATCCTCGACCTCTGATGGCCTACTTTCCTTGCAGTCACGCGTATCACTCCCTCTTCCTGCAATTCCTCATATCGTCGTCTTCACTCAGGATGATGCCCGGCTACTCGTCGCCTTCGCCAGTGGGCCACTGAGTGTGTATGACTCCCAGGCTATCTTCCAGTCTTCCGCTGCAGCGCCACCTCTGCATACGTTCCCCTTCTCGGGTCGCAAGCCGGTGCGGGACATCTTCCCTAGCCCGGGAGACATGCAAACCGTCGCTCTCGTTCGTGAAGCTGGAGATGGGCTCCCTGTCGAAATTATTGACGTTCAAAAGTTGGTATCCATCGGCGGATGGAATGCAGGAGGCTCGCCCGCCACAAACCCTACCTCAGGTACCTTGTGTTAGCATCTATTTATATTTATACCATAGACTCATCTTCACTCAGTGTCTTGGTCGCCCAAGGGGAAACAAATAGCGATAGGCCTCGAAAGTGGCGACATCGTCACCTTCAGCCCTACAGACACCTCAACGGTCAAAAGTGTCGTCCCCAAACCGCAGAGCTTGGACGGACAGAGCATCATTTCGACTACATGGCTCTCGAACACAGAGTTTCACGCGATATATGCCCCGGTAGGCCAGATGAGTCCGGACGTGGAGCAGAGCCATTACGTCCTATCGCTCGAGTCAAAGTCTAGCACGGCCGGGGACGTCAAGCTAGCATGTCCCTACTTGCCTTTCCCAGGAGTGAGACCTCCCGGCTCTTTCGTGACCACTCTACGTAACTGGGAGCCATCCAGGCTGCTCCTCTTTGTTGGCGACGGCACCTCTTCGGATATCGGTGTTCTGGGTAGTCTGACGGACTCGGGAGCATCAACGCTGGGCTCATGGTTCAACCTCACGCTCGAGGAGACCTCTACCCCTACGGTTCCCCTGGACTCGGACATGAACGAGACTGTTCTCCTGGGCCTTGAACTGGACTTGACCAACGATCAGCCTTACAAATATACCGGACCGTCAGGTGAAGACATGGATGTGCCACCCTCGCCCATCATGTATCTCTACGCCAGTGACGGTACTCTGACAGGTTGGCACATCATCCAGACGCAGGGGGTCGCATATCCAGGGATGATGGCCACGCGCTCTGCTTCTGCTCCCTCCATCTCCCCGGCTACTTCAACAGCTACCGGTTCTTCTGCTCACAGCGCTTTTGCCGCTCCAGCTCCTGCCTCCGCCCAACCGAGCGTGTTTGGTGGGGCAAACAATGCTGGTGGTGGTTTTGGCGCTTTCTCCGGTGCACCAGCGAAGTTCGGAGGTCCTCCAATCGGCTTCGGTGCCCAGACCTCCCCCACGCATACGCTACAGGCTCCCCCAATGTCTGCCCCTTCGGTGTCGGTTGAGATGGCATCAGCTACTGAAGACACCATGGTTTCAGAGGCGGATGGTGGTCTCGGAGGTATGTCACTAGGCGGCGGTGGCGAGAGCTCTCAGCCGAGACCAGGCGCGGGTACTTCATCCATGTTCGGCTCCTTCGGCGCCCCACAGCAGCAGAGCGCCCCCTCGAGCTCACCGTTCGGCGGCAGCGGCCCAACTTCAAACTCGACGTTTGCTACCTTCGGTGCAGGGCCCGTCAAGCCTCCTACAGGCTTTGGTGCCTTTGGCGGCGGCAGTGGTTCTTCCTCCGGATTTGGGTCCGGGAACTCGTTCGGCAGTGGAGGGAGCGGCGGATTTGGCAGTGGTAGCGGTAGCGCGTTCGGAGGAGGGGCGTCCGCCTTCTCCTCTAAGCCAGCGGGCGAAAACGGCGCATCGAACCCCGCACCTACCGATTCCAAGCCTACATCTGCGTTCGGCCAGACCAGCTTTGGCCAATCTGGATTCGGTCAATCCGGCCTTGGCTCCAACCCAAGCACCTCAGCGTTCGGGCAGTCTGCCTTCGGACAATCCGGCTTCGGCCAGCCCTCAGTTAGCAAACCTGCGTTTGGACAGTCTGCCTTCGGCAGCACATCTTTCGGTGCCACCACCACTCCGGCCAAGCCCCCGCCCTCCTCCGCCTTCGGCAGCGGTAGCAGTGGAGGCGGATTTGCAGCATTCGCGGCAGCGCCCGCATCCTTCGCCAGTGCAGCACAGCAAAAGACGCCCGACGCTAAGCCGGTGTGGGCTGCCAGCGGATCCCAAGCAGCGGAGCAAAAACCGCAAGAGGCTCCCAGTTCCGAAGCTACATTTGGCGATGGGAACGCGTTTGGTGCGAAGCCAGCAGAGTCAACCACCAGCCCGTTCGGTTCTGCAAAGCCGACGGACTCAGCAAGCAGCGCATTTGCCTCTACCCAGCCAGCTCAACCTACAAGCAGCGGCGCATTCGGTGGTCTTGGTCAGGGCAGCGCTTTCGGGAAGTCGTCTTTCGGGCAATCGTCGTTTGGCCAGAGCTCCTTCGGCCAGTCATCGTTCGGCCAGCCGTCCACGGGACAGTCTGCGTTCGGACAGTCTGCATTCGGACAATCGGCTACTCCAGCCACGACCCCTATAAAGCCAGCGACGACAACGCCATCTGGTGGAGGATTCGCCAGTTTCGCGACGGCGGGCCCGAGCGCGTTCAGCACTGCCGCCGCGCAGAAGTCGCCCTCCAACGAGGCAAAACCTGTATGGGCGACCGCCGCCAGTGAGGACAAGCCTAAGGAAGCGCAAGAACAGCCCAAGTCAGTGTTTGGCACCTCTCCGAGTGCTGCAAGTGCATTTGGAGGGTCGTCATCCGCTGCCTCATCCGCATCCACGACCTCTACGACCCCGGCGAGCACCCCTGAGAAGACCGCGACTCCTGTGACGCCCGCCGCGACGCCGCCAGCGACCCCCGCACCCAAGCCCCCCACTATCCCCACTACGAGCACCACCCCAGCTGCGCCCGCACCTGGTGGAGCATTCGGCGGGCTGACTACGTCCACGAACGCTTTTTCCAAGTTACAGTCTGGCTTCGGCGCGTTCAGCAACATTGCGTCAGGCTCGTCGGCGTTCTCGCAAAAGCCAGCGGCCACGCCTCAGCCAAGCGCGTTCTTCGGGCAGACCTCCTTCAGTGCTGCGAAACCGCCGGAGGACAAGGATAGCTCATCCACGCCAGCGTTCGGTGCGCCTTCGCCTCTCGGGTCATACTTCGGGAAGTCCAGCTTTGGCTCGAGCCCATCCCCTTTCGGAAAGCCTGCCGCTGTCCCGTCCACACCTACCCCGAGCACGAGCACGAAAACGAGTGCGTTCAGTGCGTTCAGCAACACCGCCAATCCGTTCGCTGCGGCTGCAAGCGGTCCCAAGAAGAGCTTCGGCGACATGCTACGAGAGAAAGAGGAGGGCGAGAAAGAGGAGCCTAGAGCCCAAGGCGTTAGCAAGACCGCAGAGGAGTGGAAGAAGCCTGTTTCCGTGTTTGCCTCTCTCAAACAGGCCGCCGCGGAGAAGAGTGCGTGACAGTGTCTGACTACTATCTTCATCTCATACTTAACACGTTTTTTCCACGACAGAGGGCGAAGAGGAAGACGAGGAGGAAGCGGCCAATGTCTCGTTCCGCTCCCAAGATGATGACGACGACGAGTATGCTGAGGATGGTAGTGATGGAGGCGACGATGGCATTGACGACTTCCTCAAATCCGACGAAGAAGAAGAGGACGGCAGCGAAGAGGAAGAGGAGGAAGAGGAATCAGCGGCAGACGGTGTGCAATCTCAGACGCCTCCCGACTCCCCAACTGCGAAGCAGCCGCTGTCCCAGCAAAGCCAATCCTCGTTCTTCGTTGGCGGGGTCTTCCTTTCTAAGGACGCTGCCAAGTCTAGGACATCAAGCTCTCCCCCTCCTGTGCCTATCGTGAAAGTCGAACCCGAAAGCCCGAAGGGAGTTCCGCCACGGCATGATGATACGCCTCCTCCAGATTCGCCCACGGATCGTTCATCCGCACTCACAGAAGGCAAGGGCAAGGGTGTTGTGCGAGAGACTAGTACTACACCTCCTGGCTCTCCTGCTCCCGCTCCTCCTGCGACGCGTGCTACGTCCGCACCTCCGCCATCCTCTCCCGCTCCCGGTCCAGGCCTGCTCGGCGTTGGTCGCCCCTCCACCCGGCCGACGCGTAGCTCGCCGCTTGCCAATCAACCAATCAGCGGGGATGACGCTTCAGATGAGGAAGAGGAGGTTAAGAGAGAGGAAGACGATGACGATGACGAGCGCGAGACGTCTCCAGCCAAGAAGGCTCGCTCGGCCTCTCCTGCGGTCTCCACTGTCTCTAGGAGTAGTCCAGCACAGCAGCCTACTACCAGGCCTAAAACTCCGCCGCTACTATTCGGTCTAGGTGGCCCAGTGAAGCCACCCACCCCATCACCTTTCTCGCTTACCCCTTCACTGTTTGGCGCAAAGCCGTCAACGCCTCCCGCCGAGACACCTGCGGAGCCCTCGAAGCCATCGCCTCCGGGACCCTCCCTCAAGGGTCCTGGCACTCCTGGAACGCCATCGATATTCAATGCCCCGCCAGTGTTCTCCCCGCCTGCCACTACACAGGGAGGCTTCTTCGGACAGAAATCGTTTGATCTGAAGCCTGCCGCCGGACCCCCTGGTGGCACGTTGTTTGGGTCGAAGCTCGCCCCTCCTACCGCTCCACAGTCCACGGCATCCCCGTTCAGCTCACCGGGTTTCTTCTCCACGCCGATCCTCCCGTCACCAATGCAGTCTCCATCTCCTGCCGCTACCTCAGCTGCCGCCCCGGCTGCCGTACCCCCATCTGCACCCCTTTTTGGAGGTAGTGCGTTCGGTGCCCCTACGCAGGCTGCGAAGCCGTCTCCATTTGGTGGATTTGCCAAACCTGCCACCCTTCCTGCTACAGCGACTGCTCCTGTACTTCCTGCTGTGCCCATTCAGCCTCCACCGCCATCCCAGGCGGCTGTCGCGCAAGGTATGCAGACGGAGTGTCTGTATCTGTTCTCCAGTTTGGCAAAAGAGCTCGAAGACGTACGTGTAGTGCACAATTTTGAGTCGCTATACTGACATGCATTTTCTCTAGCTCAAAGCGTTGGCCACCCGGGCGAGTGCACGCGCTACGCAATTGAACAAGCCCGGCAGCGGAAACAAGACGGCTCAGGATCTTTTGGACCCCACCAAGTGGATCCTGGGCGACCTCTCGCAGTTCAAGGAGATCATGAAGGAGGTCGAGCGGGAGGTGGCGAAGTGGGAGAAGGAAAAAGCCACGGTGATTTCCGCTATGCGCGAGCTCGAGAGCGACATGCTCAAAGGTACGTTCCTTTACCGGCGTTTGAAGCGTCGAAGACCTGACGGGGCCACCGCAGCGACCACACGTAAGGAAGAGATCGCGCGTTTCCACAGAGCGTCCCAGGACACGGAATTCGCGCGCATGCTGAAGGCGCGCACACTGAGTCCTGAGCACCTTGAGACGCAGGCCCAATTGCGAAGGGAAATCCGAGTCAGTACCGCCCGTTCTCATGCTCTACTACTTGCTGACCAAATGTATACAGACGATGCGCGGGAGGATACAACAGCTAGAGGACCATATCCAGGCCTCCAAGAAGAAGCTGAACAGCGTGAAGAATGGGAAGCCGACTCTCAAGTAAGCATCCTTCAACTTCGTCAGCGATAAGAGTGATCCTAACCCTCCCTTGTAGACCGCCGTCGCTGGACACGATCAACCGCACGTACCGCAACATCGACATCGCTATCGAACAGGAGGAAGAGGGTGTCTCGTCTCTCGCCGAACGCGTTGCCCAGCTCAACCTCTCCTCGCAAGCTCGCGGCAAGCTCTCTTTCGCCACCTCATCGCGCGACAAACGCCTGCCCGACCGCACGGACCGCATCGGACGCGAAGTGACACCCAATATCGCCGCCTCGACTGCCGCAGCACTCAATGCCGAGCGTAGTGCACAGAAGCTGAAGCGTGCGCTCCTCAAGGCTCGGAAGGAGCCGCTGCTCAACACCAAGGCCGTCGACGCTCTACCGCCTGCGCGCGAAATACGCTCCTCCCGCAAGCCTCTGCTCTCCCCGGAATCCGGGCTCGGCGTGGGCGCTGCGTTCGCAGCGGGGATGAACGGCTTCCTTCCTGGCACGCCCGGAACGCCTACTCCCGCCGCCCCGGCATGGACTGCTCCGCCTCCAGGCAGCTTCGGCATGTCGCCTGCGTGGTCTCCGTCGCCGCCGTTCGTCTCGGAGCAGAGCCCGCCCTCCTCTGGGCGGTCGGGCGCGATGCGTCCCCCGAAGGACCGGGGCCACGGGCGGTCTGCGCAGCCGTCACAACCCACAGGGTTCGTCAAGCCTCCGTCGCTGCCGCCTCCCGCGGGGTTCAGCTGGGGCCCGCTGCCGAAGTTCGAATCGGCCCAGCAGACGATCCCGGGGTTTAGCTCGTTCAGCAATATCAAGGCGGAAGCCACGCCAGCGGTGAAGGTGAAGGAGGAGGAAAAGGACTTGGGGTCATCTTGGATTGCGGATGGCTTCGGGGCGTTGAAGAAATGATGATGCACTTGGATGCTCGCGATGAACACACGATACGTCAGACCGCTGTAAACCGCCATGTATTACCATGTGTAGATCTAGCGTAGGCTACGGCTACAATCGACTACGATGGGACGCGCACGTCTAGCTTGACTCGCCGTTCGCTACTGGCTTTTCCTTCTGAATCTCTGCCGGTTCCGACTTCTGCTCTTCCGTTTCTGGTGCGTCCTCGAACTGTTCCGTGGGCGCGGGCTTGTCGAACGGGTTGTAGATGATGCTCTCGAGGTGGGAGAGCGCGGCCTGCGGGGGTACGGGGACAAAAAAAGCAGGTTGGCGCGCGGTGTCTAATACGGGGCGAAACGGCTATTATTGAGGAAATCGCTGCGCACCCTCCCGACCTCGCTGAGCTCCTCGTCGGCGGTCCCGTTGAAGGTCTCGAACTCGCCCGGATCGACGAACGCGTCGTCGTCGTCGTCCATCTCGTCGTCCGCCCCCGGGTCGGGATGGAGAGATGCGCAGAGGGAGAGCGCCTCGAATATAGGCTCGACTGTGAGGATATTGTCAGTACATGATCGGGGACTGAAAGTGGCGGACGCACGGGCAGAGGGGTCTTTTGGTAGGATGGTGAGCTCGCTCATGTCCGCGACGTCCTCCTCATCGTTCTGAGGCTTCGCGTTTTCGGCCGCGTTGACGGTGTCGTCGAGTTGGCAGTAGATGGAGGGACCCTGCTCGCCGCGGGAGATTGCGTGCAGAGTGATGGACGGGTACTCGAGTTGGAACCCGCGGCCAGCTGTGGACATAAACACGAGATGACTGAGGGCGCGTCAGCATCAATCAACGCGTTAAGCACGTATCGCACCTTTCAATCACGTAGAGCGAGCCGTTGGCTGCATCTGCAGCAGAGAACGCGTCGACTGGAGGGTCGAGGGTGATGGAGACATTATCTTCCTTGTGGCGGAGGACAGGAGGGATGTCGGAGAACGACGCGGGGGTCGACGCGACGAGGTTTCTGTGTTCCTCGGGGGAGATGAACTTGGGGAGCGCGTCGATGAGTACGATTGCCATGTTTTGTGTTTCTTGTCTATGTTCTATGGTGCAAGACAGTGGAGGGACAGATGAACTCATGAGCGCCCGGCAGATCTCAGGACGAGCGTGATCGAGATCTGATCTGGTCAAGCAGTGCGGGCGCCTCTGCGAGTGCTAAGTGCCTCGGCTTGCTCGACTGCCGATCTCGTCCTCTCTTTCGACGTCCACGACCTCCACAGCACCGACCATGCCAGTCTCAACGCCCAACGACCCGCAGGCAGCGGCCCTGCTTTCTCATGTTCTCTCACAGACGCATGCGAACGTCCTCTTCCTCGCCTCACAGAACTACATCTCCTCGTCCGAGGCTACCGAAATCATCACCCGCCTCTCCCAGGGACCCAGCTCCCCCTCCACCGACTCCGTCGCCGCAAGCATGCAGAACCTCGCCGTCGGACCCGCCCGCGTACCCTCACCCGCACGCCGCGGAGTCCCGCCCCCGCCTCCACGAAACAACACTAAGAGAGCGCGCGCCATCTGGCCCTACAACGAAGACGGCCGGGTCAGTCCGCTTACCTCCTCCCGCTTACACTCTCCGGCGACATTCCCGTGTTCTGCAGTACACTGACGCCAATTCCGACCTACAGGAAGTGAACGACATCTCCTTCTCCGCCGGAGAGACCATCGAGATCGTCGACGAGACGAACGCAGACTGGTGGACCGGCAAGTGCAGGGGCCGGCAAGGCCTCTTCCCCGCAAACTACGTCGAGCTCCTCGACGCCGGGCGCGGGCCCCCGCCGCCTCCGGCCGCCTCCAGCATGCCCGGGATGCCCATGGGGCCCATGCACATGTCCTCGTACCACCAGCCGCCGCCGGGCCCGCCCCAGCAGTACGGCATGCCGCCGCACGAGCCGGAGAAGGTTGCCATGTACCAGCAGCAGCCGTCGTACGCGCCCCAGCCGATCATGTCGCCCATGCAGGTCGCCCAGCCGCAGGAGCAGCAGCCGCCCCCGAAGAAGAACAAGTTTGGGAAGCTGGGAAGCACGATGGCGACCTCGGCCGCGGGTGGTGTCGGTTTCGGTGCTGGTGGGTGATTGGTCTCGTGTGTGGGTCGTGTACATCAGTGCTCACAAACCTGTTACAGGTGCCGCTATCGGTGGTGGCATCATCAACTCCATCTTCTGAGTGTGGAGTATCTTGGGCTATTAGGAAGGATTAGACATGCTATGACTTGTGCTGTGAATGGACTTGGGCTACATAGGATCTCGTCTGTACGTGTACCCGTCTAATTGGCAATCACGCGGATATCGTTCATGATCACATACGTCGAGTGATCAAGTCATATTACAGTTAGAGATACACTGGTATAGTCTGCTCCTCCGGTTCCTTTTCTATGTCTTCCATTGTGAGGCTGTCTACAGTACAACCTCGTCCTTGTCGGTGACCGGGATCCCGAAGATTGCCTTGACCTCGCGGACGGTTTCCGGCTCTCCCGTATTCTACACAGTCCCCGCACATTCAGCCCCGAGCGAGCGAGTTGTTATCGAAAGAATACCCACCTTGGTGATATCGTCGCTGATCTTCACCGTCGGCTTTCCGTCCACGGAGGAAAGCTTGATGACCATGTTCAGCGCACGGCTTTTCTCCGCCCCATTCGACGCCTTCTTGAAGTCGTTCGAGAGTGACGTGCCGATCCCAAACGAGCCTGTAAATACGCCCATCCATAAGCACTTCTCCCAAGTCCTTTCCCCGACAAATCACATACATTTGAGCTCGAGCTCGTCGCACTGCTTCTTCAGCGCGAGCGCCTTCTCGACGGTGAGCGCGTCCGAGAAGATGATCATCTTCGTGCGGTAGTCCACCCCGAGCCGTTCGTACACTTCCTTCGCGCGGGGGGCATACGCGAACGGGTCGCCCGAGTCCTGGCGCAGCCCGGTCCAGTGCTGCGCAAAGTGCGAGTCTTGGGCGAAATCCTGTCCGCCAATGTTAGTCTGCGTATGCGGAAAGAGAAGCGGGGGAGGGGTAGGGCAGACGTACTGCGTAGAAGGCTTCGGTGGAGAACGTGTCCGTGAGGGCGATGAGGAGCACGTTGTGGTAGACTTCTTCCCAGAGCTTGAGTGCGGTCGAGTTGGCGTGCTCGTAGCCCTTGAGCGCACCGACCTGTGAAGCAAGGTTAGTCTATAGATGCGACAACGTTGCGTGAGGCTTACACCCATGAACCATTCGCTTATAAGATTTTCAGTCAGCTTCTGAAAGTGCAATGTAACTCGGATACTCACTGAGCAATGGTTCCCATAGGTAGCACATTGTATTTCATCGCGAGGTGCACCTATCAGCGGCTTCAATAACAGCCCGCTTATTCCGCAGTGCTTTCAGCACTCACGTTGCTGGTCCCGGACACTCTGGCGGGGGCATCTGGACTGTCTTTCTGCGCACGCAGAATGGCCTCCATAATTATGTCCTGCGTGCGGTACGACCGTCGTCTGCGAGTACCAAACTCGCTGAAGGAGCAGCCGGCCGCAAGAAGTGTCTTCGCCTTCTCATACGCCTGCTCTGCCACAATTATTCGTGTTACACTCATTAAACTGTTGAACAGCGAGCAATACGCACCTTCTTGTCCGTCGTAGTTCCAGTCCTTATCGGCGGTCGTGAAGTATATCTCGCTCAAGCAGGCCATAAGAGGGACCTCCCAAAGGATGGTTTCCCGCCATGGTCCCACCGCGTGAATGTGAATGTCTCCTCTCGCTTTCACGTCCCCGCGCGCATCCCTGTCTATGTCCTCAGGGATCGGCTCAAAGCTCAAACGGAGCTGTGTGGGGTTAAAGCGGTACGCTGCAAGGAAGTCGAGGTAGGACGGCTTGAGGTACGGGCACGCTTTTGCTAGCCACTCGCGTTCATCCGGTGTGAGCTTGATTTTGTCGAATTCTGTTAAGTTACCGGAGCCCGATCAATATCACGTCAAGATGACCGTAATGAATGGGCACGAGGGAACTCACGCGAGGCAGAACGCTGGAAGCGGTGGAAACATTCGCGGGTGAAGAACACATCCTTGTCGCGGTGGGTGAAGCGGTATGTGCCCTCGACGTCTGGGAAGTGGTGGAGGACTGCTTGCTGCATAGAGAACTAGCCGGGGGATCTGGTTGAGGACATGTCTTTGCTGAGATCGGCTATTTAAAGCGCGTACCTTGTAAAGGTCCGTGTCGAGCAGCGACGCCGGCAGCACAACATCGCTGTAGTCTGTGCCGGCCATGCTGTGTCTATGGTGGTCTATGCGATAAGGTGCTGGCAGAGCTTAAGTAGCTCAAGCTCAAGTATGTTCCAACGGTGGCTGAACCTTGTATCTTGGAGTCATTGACCCTAACCCCGCTCCTCGATCGGAAGCGCACTCTAATTTCGCGCGTCCTGCACGCGTCCTCTCTCGGTGGCGGCCCTCATCCAACTCACTCTGTACCCACCATGGTACGTTCAGCGACGTGAAAACATGAATATATGCTCATAAACCCTCGCAGAGCTCAAGAATAGAGATTCTCAACGACGGCGGCTTCCGCTCAGACGGCCGCAAACAGTACGAGCTGCGCGACATCACCATCGACCTCTCTCAGCAGGGCACCGCAGACGGCTCTGCCATCATCACCCATGGCCTCACACAGGTCATGGTCTCCGTCTTCGGCCCTCGCGAGGCCAAGATGCGCTCACAAACACTCCACGACCGCGCCGTTCTAAACGTCGAGATCAATGTCGCGCCTTTCAGCACAGGAGACCGCCGAAAACGCTCGCGCGCAGACAGGTATGTCCCTTCACCTACCCCGCACTCCAGTATGCCGATGCGGACCAAGCACACAGACGAATACTTGAGCTCGCTGCATCGATCGAGTCCACCTTCGAGCCCGTCGTCCAAACCTCCCTCTACCCCCGCTCCCAGATCGACATCTACGTCCAGGTGCTTCAACAAGATGGCGGGCTCCTCCAGGCCTGCATCAACGCAACCACCCTCGCACTCGTCACCGCCGGGGTGCCTCTACTCGACTTTGTCTGTGCCGTCTCCGGGGGCGTACACTCCACCCAGCCGCTCCTCGACCTCACCACGCTCGAAGAGAACGACCTGCCGAACCTGACCGTCGCCGTCATGCCCCGCACGAAGAAGGTCACGCTGGTGACGATGGAGACCCGACTGCACGTCGACCGCTTCCGAGACATCTTTGAACTCGCGTGCCAGGCCGGGCAGACGATCCACAAGGAAATGAAACGGGCGGTGAAAGACCGAACCGTCGCCCTCGTCGGCGCGATGGACACCGGCGCAAAACATTCGTCCGTCGATCCCGACGTGATGATGGAAGACCGATGACCTCTCGCTGTTCCTCTGTACATCACGCACGCATACACACACTGCTTTCAGTCTCGTGTTACTTCGATTCGGCGGAAACACGCGAGCCACTTCTCGCCCTTGTTCCGCTCCACCTTCTTGCCCTCCTCTGTACTAGTATACACCGCGTCTACGATCGCGCCCTTGCCCTCGTCCCTGAGCTCCTGCTCGCTCACCGGCTCGAACAACGGGAACTGCTCCAGATGCGTGCGCATCCAGTCGTGCAGGTCGCGCACGTCCGTGATCGTGTACACGATCCCGCCCGGGCGCAGGATGTACGCGTACTCGGCGAGCAGCGTCGGCGAGATGATGCGCGCCTTGTGCTTGCGCGCCTTGAAGTGCGGGTCCGGGAAGAGGAAGAAGAGTGCGGAGAGCGAGTGCTTCGGGAAGTAGTTTGGCATGAACTTCATCGAGTTCGCGCGCACGATCGACACGTTTTGGTAGGGGCCGGGCGTGGTGGCCTCGGGCGGGGCAGGGTTCGTCGAGCGCAGGGCGACGATCCGGTCGTGCACGTACTGCGAGACTTGCACCCGGATCTCCATGCCTGCGGGAGACGATCAGATCGTGCTCACACACGGCAGCGTGAAACAGATCGCATTGGGGAGCGTAGTACATGGCACGACACGCAACACAGGCGATAGACAAAAGAAAGACTGACCGAGCATGAGGGTCTCCGGGAACAGCGGCGCGAGGGCAATGAGGAGACCGCCAAAGCCGCACCCGATGTCGGCAAACTCTGGAGTCTTGCCGGAGCCAGCAAAGGCAGGGTAGTGCGTGTCCCAGTCAAATTGAGCCGGCGCAGAGGGGTAGCTGAGGGCATGGTCCGAGAAGGGGTTTGCGTGCGCGCGCTGCCTGTAGTGTCGTTTCTGCACGAGCGGATGAGCGTCGCGCGGAGGGGCAGCGAAAAATGAGGCGACGCGCCTGGGGGAGGACGTCGTTCTGCAGCTGCTTGGGGCCATCCGGGGCGGCGGCCGGGGCAGGGTCTGCGCCGTTGCCCGTGCGTTTGCGCTTCGGCATGGTGTGGGGATGGGGAGAGAGTGGGGAGGGACAAGCCGGGCGGCGGGGACGGGTCGGAAATGGGAGGACGGGGAGAGGACCGAGGAAATCCGAGCGCCACGTGTGGCTCGCGCGCGATATGAACCCGCCAGCGCGCCCTCTCCTTCCTTTTCTCCACCTCCTCCTCTCCCCACAACGTGCGCCATGTCCTCCGCCGCCCTCCGCTCTGCCGTCCAGCAGGTACGCCCTTGGCATTCCGCTCGGCCTCTTGGTCAACCACTCACGCATCCGCTTTTAGTCTCGCCGCACCGCGTTCGCGCGCTCGGCCCGCTTTGCATCCACCTCTGCAAAGGCCCCCACGCTCAAGGAGCGTCTCGCCGAGCTCATCCCTGCTGAGATTGAGAATGTGCGTGTCATGTCCTCTAGCTACATGTTCGCTCCCTAACTCCTCCCCAGGTAAAAGCGACGCGTGCGGCGCACGGCAAAAAGTCGTTCGGCCCCGTCATCGTCGACCAGCTCTACGGGTGCGTCCGGCTCGCGTGCACTTCGCGAACCCTCCCCCGCTGACCTCACGTCTCCAGTGGTATGCGTGGCCTCCCTGCCCTCATCTGGGACGGCTCCGTCCTCGATGCTGGTGCGTCTCTCTAACCGTTGGTGACCGCCGTTTACCCCCGCTTACCTCCGCTGCTCCCCACAGAGGAGGGTATCCGTTTCCGTGGCAAGACCATCCCGGATATCCAGGAAGCGCTCCCCAAGGCCCCTGGCGGGACTGAGCCTCTTCCTGAGGGCCTCTTCTGGCTCCTCGTCACCGGCGAGATCCCCACCCAGGAGCAGGTCACCGCGCTCTCCAAGGAGTGGGCTGCGCGCTCGGCCATCCCCTCGTTCGTCGAGGAGATCCTGGACCGCTGCCCGCCGACGCTGCACCCGATGTCCCAGTTCTCCCTCGCTGTGACTGCCGTGAGTATTTTGACGTCATATACTGCCTCCGCCAGGATAAGGTTTCTGATGTCCATTCCCGATTAGCTTAACCACGATTCGGCGTTTGCCAAGGCGTACGCCCAGGGCATCAACAAGAAGGACTACTGGCAGCCCACTTACGAGGACACCATGGACCTGTAAGTTTCCGTGGTCAGCGATGATCGAGCGTCGCTGATTGGTTCTCCCAGGATTGCGAAGCTCCCCAACATTGCTGGGCGCATCTTCCGCAACGTGTACGGCGGTGGCAAGCTCCCCGCCATCGAGGCCGACAAGGACTACTCGTACAACCTGGCCAAGCTCCTCGGCTACGCCGACAAGCCCGAGTTCGTTGAGCTCCTCCGTCTCTACATCACGATCCACTCGGACCACGAGGGTGGCAACGTCTCTGCGCACACCGGCAAGCTCGTCGGCTCCGCGCTCTCGGACCCCTTCCTCGCGTTCGGCGCGTCCTTGAACGGTCTCGCCGGCCCCCTCCACGGTCTCGCGAACCAGGAGGTGCTCATCTGGCTCCGCAAGATGCAGTCCAAGCTCGGCGAGAACCCGACGGACGAAGACGTGCGTGAGTACGTCTGGACGACGCTCAAGGGCGGCCAGGTCGTCCCTGGGTACGGCCACGCCGTGCTCCGCAAGACGGACCCGCGTTACACCGCGCAGCGTGAGTTCGCGCTGAAGCACTTGCCCGAGGACCCCATGTTCCAGCTTGTCAGCAAGGTCTACAACGTTGTCCCCAACGTCCTCCTCGAGGCCGGCAAGGCGAAGAACCCGTGGCCCAACGTCGACGCGCACTCCGGTGTGCTCCTGACCCACTACGGACTGGACCAGATGAACTTCTACACCGTCCTGTTCGGTGTGTCGCGCGCCTTCGGTGTCGCCGCTCAGCTCATCTGGGACCGTGCTCTCGGTGCCCGTACGTCACTTTCACATTTTTTCGTTGTCATTCGCTTACCTTTTCGCCTTGAAGCCCTCGAGCGCCCCAAGTCCTACTCGACCGCGGCCATCAACACGATCTTCAAGGACAAGCAGTAAATGCACCCTGGTCCGTTTGGATAGCTCTGGCGAGGACGATGTCTCGCATTGTTTCATGTTTGCGCGATGCATCGAGTGCCGGGGAGGTCCATATGTTGTTAGCGTAGTTTTTCCTGTGAACACAGTTAGTGCTTACGTAATGGGATATGTTGCCTGTAATCCTCGAGACGCCCGTGATCGAGCGTCATTCGAGCCGTCGTCTGCAGCCACTTTCTCCTTGAACTCACCCATCTCTCGCCATGTCCGACGCTCGTGCTCTCCTCAGGGCGAAAAGGCAGGAAGCCCGCATCGACCATCCACTAGCTACCTACACATCATCTGGGGTTCTGCGCTGCATAGCGTGCGGGACGACCGTGAAGCACGCGACAGCATGGGAGGGCCACATCGGGAGCAAGGCGCACCGCACGGCCGCGGCGCGCCTCCGCGAGGAACGCGCGCGGGAGGAGCAGCGGCTCGCCGCCGAGCGCGAGAGCCTCAAGCGCAAGGCGATGGAGGTGGATGAGGACGAGGATGAAGACCAGGAGGACGAGCCTGAAGAGCCAGCAAAGAGGGCGAGGGTCGAGAGCGCGGAGGAGGTGCACGAGGAGCCTCGACCTGCCGCGGCCGCGGCCGCACGCTCTGCGCTGCCTGCAGACTTCTTCTCGGACCCGTCCCAGGCCCCACCTCCAGCGGACGACGAAGACGAGGGCGAGCAATCTGGGGTAGTGGACGGAGCTGGGGCAGCGGATGCAGGCGCGCTCGACCTCGAGTGGGCGCAGTTTCAACAGACCGTGGTGAACGCGCCAGACACGCACGAGACGTACGAGCGCGCGACGATATTCGCGGAGCCGGTGGTCAACCTCGAAGTCCCGCAGGGGTTCCCGGGCGCGGCACCGGAGGAGGCGGAACCTGCGCAGGAGGAGGTGCTGGATGAGGAGGCGCTACGGAAGCGGAAGGAGCAGGACGAGCGGGAGTTGATTATGGACCGGCTCATGGAGGAGGAGCAGGCGCAGGAGGAGGCGGACGCGCGGGTCTCGTCGCTGAAGACCAAGCTCGAGGCGTTGAAGCGGCGGCGCGGGGCAGCGAAGGCCGCGAAGAAGGCCGCGACTGGGTCATGACGCTGAGCAGGTTGGTGCCTGCGAGGACTATGTTGTATATTACAGTAACGGTGCTTAACATGAATGGTGGTGATGTAGGTCAGGACTGCGAAACCTCCTTCGTGCTCTCCTCCGCCTCCGCCTCCTCGTCCGAACTCAGCCCGATCCATGACCCCCAGTCCATACCGCGTTTGTGGAACATCATGAGCCCCATCAGCACGGGCAGATACCACAGACTATGCTGGAACACCTTCCGCGCCTGCTTCTCCCCACCGTACCTCCAGAACTTGTACGCCGTGTTGATACAGATGGCGTGCGGTACGATGCTCGTCACGGCGAACGCCCATGTTGTGAGGCCCGCGAGCGGCATGAGGATCGAGGTAGCGGGGACGAGCAAGAGTGCGTGGCGGAGCGCGACAGTCGCGTTCTTGTGCGGGTCCAGCACGGAGAGCATGCGGTACCCGGCCTGCGCGTACGACTCGCGCACAAGGTACGCCAGACCGTTGAAGTGGGGGAACTGCCAGCTGTAGAGCAGTAGGAAGAGCGCGAGCGCGCCGAGGGGGTTGTCGGCGAGCGCAGCGTCGGTAGGAATCGATGAGAGGGTCGACATGAAGGAGGGCAGGACAAGCTCGAACGACTGCATGGAAGAGGGGAGTATTGAGCCGCCACAGGCTGTCCAGCCCATCAGGGGAGGGATACCGCCCACGACCGATCCCACCCAAGTGTTGAGTGTGCTCTTGCGCTTGAGATATGTGTATGCACCGGCGTAGAGCGCGATGTTTGCCACCCCAAGAAGGGCTGTGGTCGGATTGACCATGGTCCAGAGCAGGGCAGGTCCGGCGACGCCGGTGGCCACCGCAAATCCGGTAGCATGCAAGGGGCTGATTGCTCGGCGTACGATTGGCCGATTTCGTGTTCGTGCCATCTGTGCATCGTAGGGAACCTCCTGAACCTGGTTGAAGGTGTTTGCGGACGCGGAACACAGTGCCGTGCCGAGAGCGGTGGAGAGCAGGACAGGGACGGAGGTAGGGAGGGGGGAGAGTGCGACGCCAGACATGGCAGTGAGGGCGACGAGGACAGTTAAGCTCGACTTGGATAGGTGCCAGTATATCTTTGCTAGCCGTCCGGGAGTAAGGACTTCTGCCTCGCGGAACGACCGGACGGAGGTCGCTTCAGCCGCGGGCGACTGCACGGCGTCGATGGTGTGGCCGCGCGCCAGGTTGGACGTCGAGGGCACATTCTTCGGTGTGGGCAACCAGCGGTGGTTGTCGAAAAAGAATGCCGAGAATGCGGAGGACTTGCGGTCCGCGAAGGTGGATGCGAGCCGTGTGTGGATGGGTTTTCGTGAGAGCCGGACGCTGGCGGCACAGGACCGGCAGACGTAGCCCGCGAAAGGGACTGCTACGGCCCTCATCCTGACTGAAGATGACTGGTTGATATATGCGCAGCTGTAGCTGGCTGGAGCACGCACCGAAGGGGACCGGTCGGGGGAGGTCAGGAGGAGGAGAGGGGAGGCGCCGGGACGGTGTTGAGCGCGTGTGTGGGATTCCCACAGGCCAACCTTTGCTCTCTCCCCACCACTCTCCACGACGAGCCGAGGCTGAACGCGGCGGCAGGCTCTACGACGCTCGGGGTGACCGGGCTCTGCACATATTCGTTGTCGAAGAGCGCACTATTTATCCTCACGATTCCCCGTATCTTAATCCTGCTATTTGACGACACCCTTCCCAACCTCAAACACCACCACAACGCGCAATGCCTGGCACACATCTTCTCCCCCCCAACCTTCTCAAGCTCTTCGCCCCGCGGCCGCCCCTGCCCTACACGCGACCGTTGGACCGGGATATCGACCGCGTCAGGCCTAAAAATGTTGAAGGCGTTGGCCACATCCTCGCCCAGCTGCGGGAGGCGAGGACGCAAGACCTAATTGACTCCGGCAATGCCGCCAAACGCGAGGAAGATGCGATGGAGGAGGGCGAGGAGCCCACGTTCACCTACGCAGAGGAGACGAAGCGGCAGATTCGGAGAGAGGAGCGCAAGCAAAAGAAGGCCGAGGACTTTGCGAAAGCCAAGGACAACTGTATGTGCCTTTTCGTCCGTTGCCTCCTTGCATTTACTGACCGTATGCATAGACAAGCCCGCCGAAGACCCGGAAGCTACTGGAGACCCCTACAAGACCCTTTTCATCTCTCGCTTGGTATGTTGTTCGTATGTCTCGCTAGTGCCACGTCTGACCTTCCGCCACAGCACAAGAACGCATCCGAGAGCGACCTCAGGCGTGAGTTCGAGAGCTTCGGTAGCATTGAGCGGGTGAGGATAGTGCGCGACAAGAACGGGCGCAGCAGAGGCTACGCCTTCATAGTATTCGAGCGCGAGCGCGACATGAAAGGTACCACTTTTCCTTCCCTTATTTGTGCTCACTCACCCAGCATATCCCTTCGCGCTTGCGTCGCCGGTGTGACACTTTGCCGTTTTCAGCTGCGTACAAGGAATCAGACCGGCTCCATATCATGGGCAAGCGCGTCCTCGTCGACGTTGAGCGCGGTCGCACAGTCAGGGGATGGAAGCCCCGCCGCCTCGGCGGTGGCCTGGGTGGTAGGCCCAAGCCTGAAGCGCCTGCCTTCATTGGAGGTGGTGGCAGCAGCAGCGGTGGCCCACGCGGCGGCTTCAGGGGTGGATTCCGCGGTGGTGACCGTGGCGGTGACCGTGGAGGCTTCCGTGGTGGTGGACGCGGAGGAGGGTTCCGTGGTGGGCGTGGTGGGTTTGGTGGCGGCGATAGGTTTGGCGGTCCACGAGACGACTTTGGTGGAGGTGACCGCGGCGGCCGTGGCGGCTTCGGCGGAGGCTTCAGGTCAGTTTACCATATCATATTCACAGCAGCATTCAACTAACAATTCATCTTCAGAGGACGCGGTGGAGGCGGCCTCGGATACCAAGGCGGCGGCGGATTCGGCGGTCCCGACCACGGCTCCAACAACTACGGCGGAGGTCCTCCAGGCGGCGGATTTGGTGGTGGCCCTGGAGGGCCCGGCGGACCTGGTGGTTACGGTCCTCCAGGCGGCGGACCCGGTGGACCTGGTGGGTATGGCGGCCCTCCTGGTGGTGGGTTCGGCGGAGGTGGAGGATTCCGTGGGGACCTCAAGCGCGAAGGTGGTCCTGGTGGGTTCGAGGACCGCGACGCCAAGCGTCCGCGCTACTAGTGCCCCTTTCTCCCTTTTCTTCTTCTCTTGCTGCCGCACGCGGCCCCTCGACCTTTGCTTTCGCAGTGCTCCTGGGGCGTGTGGTTTGTTCACGTTCTGCGTCTGTGTTCCGCTTTTGCTCCACCGCTTGCGTAAGTATTGTATCTCGCCCTGTACCTCCCCTCCCCTCTCGCAAGCACAGGTAATAGCCGAGGCAAGTATGTATAAAATTGCGATCGTATCAGCTTCATGGTTTCTAGGTCGGTGGTAGCTTTGGGTTGGTGAACCAGGGCTTGGGGAACCTCTTGGGCAGGTACGTATATAGAGCCCAGGAGTGTGGAATGTGGGTGGTTTGCGCGCAGGGGTGCTTGGTGTGTAAGTCGAAGTGCCATTCTTGCGGCAAATTCGACACCGGCAACTCGAACGCGTATATCGTCCTGCAAGTTGGCTACCCTTGCGCCGTGGGTTCAACAGACTAGCTACATGTGAGCGGCGTTGTTAACGGCGCACGCCTCGAATTTGTTCAGAACTGCTGTGCTCGCAGGGTTGCGCCCTGTTCAAACGAGGAAATCGCGAACCGTGTTGAGGGAAGACTGGTGCGAAGATGGTCCTAGCGGTGATCGTTTAGCTCCTGCTCGTGCCGTGCCCTAGCTCACGGAAAATGCAGATCGTGCCAAATGTGTCGGTGGACTCGTCGATGGGCCGCCACATGGCCGTCATCTTAAACCTGCAATCACTGCACATTCAAAACCACCTACATATACCGCAAGATTCCACAAGCCCGACCCACTACCCAGCGCGCTTGGGCTTACCTTGTTAGTCTCTCTGACCTGGGTTCAACACGTTCGAAGATATCCCTTCCTTCGCGGCGAAAAGAACAAGGTCCTGTAAGGTGAAGAAACTCAATTTCACTGTCAAATTGGCGGGTGAGTGATCACTACTCTACGAGTGGCCATTACACCGTTCTTTAGATACCCAGATACGATGAGCTACACCGCTGGTTTATTAATCCGATGAGACAGCAAACTAATTTGGCACTGTCTTCGAGAAATGAGCACGCAACCAACCGTGCAAAATACCATGGCTGTTATGCCACTACACGGCATCATGAACGGTCGCTTTGTAGCTCGCTGATGGTGCTTCAACGGCTTGGCAATGACAACGCTGTTGACGCAGAACGCATCGGAATCTACTATTATGTGTGTTCAGATCCTTTGCGTTTTTGTATCGAGGGGAGTATATTCTTTTCTGGAGGGGCGGCACGAATTCGTGTGCCGTCCCAATTTGGTATGTGAGTATGTACGCACGTACTTTTCGGTATGCTACATGCAATCACAGACACGGTATCGCCACAGACTCCAACCCTCCCGCGAGCGGCACGAGTTGATCGACGGTTCAGAGTAGACTCCTTGAGCCGTATGCTCCCTGTATCTCACTAACATGAGAGGTCGAGACAACATTAATGGCGTCTTCAACTATTCGATAGCGTCCACGTATCTTCCTTACCTCCGCCCACCACTGATATATTGTTCAATGTACCCAAAAGTACCGCACCCGCAATAGCCCGCGTTGCGACCACATACAATACATGTGTGTGCTCAATCTCGCCCTGGTGTCTTCAAAGGCTAGGTATCATCTCGCCCGAGTCCTGACGTCCGGGTCGAGTCGCGTCATGCTTTAGAGAGGTACCGTTGACTCGGAGTGGCCTCGGACGGTGAGTGTACAATTTTGCGTCATCCGAAAGATGGTTGTCGAGGGTCGAGACCGTGCCGAGTGATCTGAAGATCGAAACGTGTGCCTGGGGTGCGATCTTCGACTCCTTGAGAGCCGGAGCGTCGATGCGCACCGACAATCATTCTCCTTTGCACGGCTAACGTCCTTGCATAGCAACCCTGTTGCTCGCGCAGGCTTTCTCGGTGCATCTCTCGTCACTGGTGCACCCATCTGCAGAACGCACTCAGATAGGGGTCGCGGTGCGCGGCCTATCATGACGCTGTTCGTTGCCACCACAAGTGTAGACTCGCTCGGTGCTGCGGTGGTGCTGACCCACCCCCCGTCTCCGCCAGTCTGCGTCAGCCGTGAAAGTTGGCCTGGCCGCTGGGGATGCAAAATCAATTATGCGACGCACGAATGTCGCCCCGCCTTATCCTCACCCAATAAAAAGGCGGGATCTGGCCACGGCTCCGCGGACGGGTCCGTTCTTGACGGCCCCGCCCCCAGGGCCGGCGCGAATTCGACCGCGCATCATATCCGACTCGGGCTTCTCCCGCCGCCTTCGGGAAACGCTTGTCTGCTCGACAAAATTGAATTGGAATGGACTGCAACGCGTCGTCATACGCAAGCACTCGCTCGTAGGAAATAAGCAAGAGGACGCCAAGGCGGAATGAGGCCGTGGCTGCGAGTTCGGGTGGTTCGCGGCTGTCCCCAACAGACCGAACGCCGTGCCAGCTGAGACCCCCACGTCGCAACCATCCACTCGCTCTCTTCATTTTCCGACCCCGCGATGAATATCGAGATGCGGCTGACCGCACCCGGCAGCCAGAGCCAAAATGCGTTGATGGCCTCTTGCGCTCATGCTCCTCGTCCCTATCCGTCTTAGCAGCCGCGGCCGATGCGGTGTCTAGCGTCCTCCGTGTAGCGTCCGCCGGTCCCCCAGATCGCGAGCGCGAGAACGTGCACGCCGTGCCTTGTTCTCGTCGGCCCAGTCCTCAACGTCCCCGGCGGGCTCACCGCTGCTCACCCTGGCCATCTCCTCCTCCCTGTGACGCGCCGGGGTTCGTCTGACTCCCCCAGTACCTTCCCTTCTAGTCTCGTCTTGGGCAGGGTGGTTCGTATCCGGGCAACATCGATCTGACTGCGCACTCTGGTCTCTTCTCTCCTTCTCCCGCTGGGCGCAAGACGCGTGGCTTCGCTGTATTCTATACCTGTCCCCTCCCACTAATATGCAGCCCCAACGTAGGTCTCGAATCCCTGCACTTGGTCCTATGTGCGTTACTCATTAAACCCAAAGCCTCATTCTTCGCGGACCCTCGGTCTTCGGGTCGGCCTGGACGACTGTCTCCGCTGTCTATCCTTGTCCCATCCCCTACTGCGGTCGCAGCACTGGACACGCCGACCTCTTGTGCACCCTCGCCGCCATCCACCATCTACTCACCTGCATGTTCAGATGTCGGGTCCATGGCGGATGGGGTCGCACCGGAGCAACCAGGAGATCCAATACCTCCAAGCCTTCGTAGGACCATGTCTCTGTCCTCACTGGCTGCGGGAGGCAAGCAGCGTCGCAAGCGCTCGCGAACTACTCAGGAACAGTTGGCGAAGCTCGAGGAGTATTTCGCGGCTGATCAGAGCCCCACCTCCGCTCGACGCCGGGATATTGCGCAAGAATTGGGATTGGACGAGCGGCAGACGCAGATATGGTTCCAGAACAGGTCTGTCCTGATCTTTTGTTAAGACATCTGATTCCATTAACACCTTCCCGCCCCTCAGGCGTGCAAAAGTAAAGCTGCAAGCCAAAATGAGGGAGCGCGCCGCCGAGAAACTGCTACCGCCCCCTCGGAGCCCACCGCCCCTGACGAGTGGGTTCGACGCGGAAATCTACAACCTGATCCACGAGGACGAGGGTCAGTCTGCTTTACTCCTACCCGCACGCGCTCTCACACTCATCCCGTACAGAGGTCACGCTAGTTCCTTGCACCGACCTGACCATCGGTACCTGGCGGCGCGTTGCATCTGCAGATCATGAGTTGATTGCCTACACCTGTGAAACGCGGCGCTGCATCACCTGGTTCGTACGCTCCGACGGCTACAGCTTCAAGATGGAGGTACCCTACGACAGCATCACCCAGCAGCACTTCTTGAACGTCTCTCCTGGCGTCGGGTCAGTGGGGTTTACCCTCGAGCGGCCGCCGACGTTTTACGTGGAGAGGGTCTCAGAGTCGAGCCCGGATGTAGAGCCCGTGCGAAGCTGGCAGCTTTCCGGGGACTGGACGGAGGGCAGCCAGGCGTCTGGCATCCTGCAGCATTCACTGATGGGCCCGGCCTATCAGCTTGCTCATCTCGTGAACACCATATCGCCTCCCGGGAACTCCCCTGAGGTGTCTTTCTACCCGTCAACGCCGTCAATATCCGATGTCGGGTCCTCGCCAGAGGTTTATTCGCGTTCCTGCGAATCTCCAGTGGACCCCCACCCCTATGCGTCCTCCCTGGTTTTACGTAGGCCGAGTTCCACGAGCAGCTTGCGGATGCTGCACCATCCCTCCTTGGAGCGACTGCGCCCGAGCCGGCACGCCAGCGTCCCCATGTTCCACTCGCCGCTCTCGAACATGTCTACGCCAAGCTCGACACCCATGTCCCCTCGCTCGCCCGCCGACATGTCCGGAATGCCAGCACCAATGCTGCTGTACGCCGACAGCAGCGTAGCTCAGCAGCAGTACATAGTCACACAAGGCCCGGTGTCCGAGCGGCTTCCCCGTCTCCAGCTCGCGATGCCGAACCTGCCTGGGCTGAACTACGAGTACAACAGTGCGCCCGACTCGCCTTATGGCTACGCCACCGAGCCGCCATCCTCCGCAGCATCTACTCCCGGCTACTACAACACCGTCGAGTCTCCAATATGGGAGGAGATCGTCCCCGACGCGCCCTATGCCGCGGAGACGGCAGAGCGGCCACAGCAAGCGTACTATCACTACCCCGACGGCATCCAGGGCCCCTCTTACGACCGCGGCGGGGGTGCCTGCTGAGCACCCCACCCACTATCCCTATCCCTAACCTATGCATCCGCCGCATCGTCCCGCTCTCCCGTATCTAAAGTCGTTCTCGCTGTCGCATTTTGTCCCCGTGATTGATCCCGTCCCATACGAGTGCCGTGCACTGGGACACTGACCTCCCCATGTCGCTATCGATTGTATGTACTGTACTATTACCCTGCACTATTCTCTGTCCATACTGCATTTGCTCACATCGTCAATAGTTTACCCCTTCCCTTGTCGCATAGTTGCTTGAGCACGTTGCTCCCCATATACATACACGCATATCTACATACACACCTGCATAATCCGTCGTGTATACGTATCTTACCACCGTACATGTCGCCTGCTAGTCTGGGCACCCTCTATATCACGCAGAGCGTGTCAACATTGTTGCGTTTTGAAAGAGTTGTCTACAATAAAACGTCCGTGATCTCAGGTTGCAAGTTATGATTCCGTGGTATGTAATACAAAGTTTTCCCTCATCCCGCTACTACGGGCTCACCGCATGGTACGACCACTATGAAAAAGAGTTAAGTGGCGTCACAGACATGCGAGCTATAGGACTCACGATGCCGTCTTGCGGTCTACCACCGCGACTTCCGTCTTCGCCCTGTTCAGCACCTTCTGGAACTCGCTCACCCGGTGACGCATACGTGAGTGCATGTACGCCTTAGAGCACTTGATGTGGTAGTGGAGGTAGTCGCGGAAGAGCTGGATGTGCGTGATCGTCAACGCCGCGACCTCCGCCTTCGCGAAGTGGCGCGGGAAGAGGACGAAGGTGACATAGCCGACGTCTTCGGTGTCGTTCAGTCCCTGCAGGTGTCTGATCTCGAGCGGCGGTTCGCGTGTTGTGTAAAGGACCTGCGGCGCAGCTTGGATCGTGGGCAGTCGCCGAGCATCGACGAACTCCTACAGGACGCAGATCGCGTCAGGGACAGGGGGGCATGCTGCTGATTGAAGGCACGAACCTGCAGGAACACCTTCCCGAACACGCGATCGGTCTCTTCCCTGAAGGTGGTGGAGAAGATCACTGTGACACGGTCAGAGGATGCCTGGACATAGATGACCTCCTCGTCGCGGTAGTGCAGCGCCATAAGCTCTCCCTGGCCGGTGCCCCCTGCCTCCAGTTGCTTCTGCGTCTTGAAGCCCGCCTCAAACGGCGCGGCCAGCGCATTCCGCTTGAGTAAGGCCAGCGATTTGATAAACGCGTCGCGTTCCTCTGGTCACCGTCAAGATAGTGCACGGATAGCAAGACGTATTCACTCACCGCCTCCTGCTGGTAGCTGTTCCAGGTTCACGTCTAGCGTAACGTTGTATCCATCCTCAGGCTGTGCACGCAACAGGGAGGTGTATTCCCGTGCTAGTACCTCATTCACGCCATACCGCACAAGCTCATCCCAGCAGCGGATGTTCATGGAGAGTACGAGTGCGGTGGGCACTTTGCGATCGGGGGTGGTGAGGCGGAAGCGGACGCCATCGAAATCGACGAATTGGACATCGAGAGCGGCCGGTCTGCAGGACGAGGCGTTGGCAATGAGCAGTCAATGCATATCAAGATGCACGTACTGCGAGGCCTTCTCCGTGAGGGTCGTGTAGATGATGTAGTTATGGGGCTATGGTGGGACCGTTTAGCCGGAGCGTGCGGGATGATGGGCGCACGGGTACCTCGAGGAGGATCATGGCGAGCTTTCTGTGTCGTGTTTGGAGTCGTAGACGTCGGCGATGTCGATGAGCAAGAGGAGGAAGAGGACGGAGGGGATGGGCGGGGCTGCGGTGCGATGTCCCGTGACGCTCTGGGAGAGCGTGAGAAAGGCCCGAATCTGTGCGGGTCGATTGAAGGATCTGAGAAATATTTCAGTGTTCTGTCTGCTACCAGCATCTCTAGCGCACATACCCCGCTTCACAAACCGCACATCCTCTCGCATCCACCGGGAAGATATCCAAAATGGGTGCGTGCGTCTGCATGCAGCCCCTGGAGAAATTCTGACGGGATGCGCCCATTCCAGCACCGAAGAAAGCTCAAAAGGCGAAGATGTCCCTGAACGAGTTCCTGGGCGACAGCGGTACGTACTGCGTACTCCTCGTCCGATATGCACTGCGTCTCATAATGCATGGCGTGCAGCCCTGGGATCGTGGGCGGACGAAATGGACTCCCTCCCTACCGCCCGTGAGTCTTCTCACCATGTGGGAGTATTCGGATCCCTGACTCCGTCACTTAGCTGCGGCGCGGGAGGACGGTGATCGTTTTGGAGGCGGAGGTCGGCGCGATGACTTCCTATCCTCTCGTCGTAAGTCCTTTTACCGTTCGCGCAACGCACGATGCATATCTGAGCGCATATCCCAGCGGATCGCGGACCACCCCGGGAGGACCTGCCACTCCCGACCGCACCCCCGTACACCGCCTTCGTCGGCAACTTGACTTTCGATATTACCGAGACTGAGCTGGAGGAGTTCTTTGGCGGCGGCGTACGTTCTGCAATCTATCCAACTTTCCGTTGCCTCTGACATTGTCCACCAGACCAAGTCTGTGAAAATCATCAAGGACAGAGATGAGAAGCCGAAGGGCTTCGGATACGTCGAATTCGCCGACCTCGATGCACTCAAGGACGCTCTTGCTAAGACTGGATCGGTGAGTAAGCTGCATGATATATTCAGACCTTCGCTGACCAAATCACGTACAATCCAGCCTCTTGCCGGACGCGGCGTCCGAGTGAGCGTTGCTGAGCCTCGTAAGTGTGCTAAATCCGACCCAGACGCCGCTACACACGATTGACACACTGCGGTATAGCGAAAGAGCGTTCGGGCTTCGGTGGAGGAGGCTTTGGCGACGATGACCCCAAGTTCGCCAACCCCTGGAGGAGGGACGGCCCCCTCCCGGATCTTCCCAACAGTGACAGCTCACGCCGCCGCTTTGACGCTCCTCGCGAGGGCCGGGAGCCTCCCGCTGCGCCCGTCTCGGACGGCATTTCTGACTGGCGGTCATCCCGCGCCCCGCCCCGTGGTCCCCCTCCCCCAGAAAACGAGTTCAGGAGGGCAGGCCCCCCTCGCGAGCCCCGCGAACCAGCAGTCGTCGGCCCTGCCGATACCGAGGAGACCTGGCACATCGGCAGCAAGTTCAAGCCCACCGGACCTCCCTCTGGAGATGGTGAGCGGCCGGGCAGCCGCTTCGGCAGCTTGCGCTCCCGTGGAGAGATGGGTCCACCCAGAGACGCCCCCGCTGGCGCCCCCGCCGTCGTCGAGGAAAGTGACTGGCGGCGGCCGCGCACGATCTCGCGCAATAGCACGTCCCGTACGTCGCCGATAGCGATGGGAACGCTGATAATAGACACTGATAGCGGTTGCCCTCTGTTACAGCAAGCAATTCGACGCCGCCCACTCCTCAGATGGGCCGGCGTAAGCTCGAGCTCTTGCCCCGGTCATCCTCCTCTACCTCCGCGACGCCCTCCCCTCTGGCCTCTCCCAACCCTTCACACACCTCCGCACGCTCTAACCCCTTCGGTGCTGCCAAGTAAGCCTACCCGTTTATTAGACATCGTGACCGTGCTTACTTGTCACTCTAGGCCAGTAGATGTCACGGCACGGGAGGCAGAGGTCCAACAAAAGATCGAGAAGGAGCGCGAAGAGGTACGCGAGAAGGTCGCACACAACGCACATTCGATGTCCCGCAACTCCTCGCGGACAGGCACACAGCGCCCCACCCCTCCCGCCACCACCGTCCACAGCCCGACCTCGGTTCACAGCCCGACAACGCCCCACCACGAACCGAGCAAGCTCCCGCCTGCGAACGTGCGCCCAGCATTCAGCTTTGCCAGCGCGGCCGCGGGCAAGAAGGAGGCCGAGGCCGCGGCGGCAGCGGCCGCTGCTGCCGGCAAGGACGACGTGTCGACGATCACCGAAAAGATCGACGAGGTCGAGCTGGAGTCGTCCGAGCAGTGAGAGAGAGAGGGAGAGGTTCGGAGGCTTTTCGCCCGCAGCCCCTGGGCTGCAGGATCCCACAAGAAATCTTGCTGCGACCGCGTCCAAATGCTGTGATCTGTTCTCGTTCCTTTCGTCGTCGCATGTCTATCTTATGTGTTTCAATATGTCATTATGACTTGTCTAGCAGTTCGTCTGGTTCGGTTACCGCACATATGCCCGGTAGATGTACACGAAGGCATGTATCTTGTCGGCAGCATACGTAGATGCAATGCCATGATATCCACTCATTCACACCAATCTCGATGTGCTGCATCTGTCCGCCTTACGAGTGTAGCACTCTTTTCACGATCACGCAGTTCAAATGTCATGGCAGCATGATCGTATAAGCCTACAACATACAGGGACACGTATGATAATAGTCTAGGCGGAGATGGTGACCTCGACCTCGACACCAGGCTCGAGGCTGATGCTCGTCTGTCCCTACTATGTAAGTATATGGGTAAATGCGAAAATTGCAGGCTACTCACGATCTGCTTGACGATCTCGCTGGAGGAGTGGAGGTCGATCAAGCGCTTGTGGATCTTGAGCTCGTAACGGTCCCAGGTCTTGGAACCCTCACCGCAAGGCTACGGACGACATCGTCAGGAATCTGAAGAATCCAAAAAGAGGCTCGGAGGGTACTCACCGACTTGCGGGTGGTGACCTTGAGAACCTTCGTGGGGAGGCGGACGGGGCCCTTGACACGGAGCTGCTTGTCCTTCGCCCGGTTGATCAGGTCCGTCGAGACTGCCCTCTATCGTCAGCCATACTCCTCTCAACAGCTCAGGTGAGGCACATACACTTCTCAAGGTTCTTGACGTTGCTGCTCGTGAGCGTGATACGGATTTTGTGGATCTTGGCGGCGGGCACGGGGGCACCGGTCGCGTCGTATTCCTTTTCACCCTTAGCGACGTAACTCATCCTGATACTTGCTGGAGAGTCAGAAGGTGACTGTAGATGCCGTTCGGTGAGTTTTTGCGGGCGAAGGGCGGGGAGGGGGGACGCTTTACCTTTGGGCGAGTTGTGTTGATAGAACGGAAAATTAAGGTTCACGCTCGGGCGCAGAATGCATGTAGCTCTCGGCAATGACCGAAGCAATTCCCACCAATTTGTTTTGCCCGACAAGCCTGATCGGGCCATATCCTGCGAAACTTGACGGGAAATTACCTCATACCTTGACCACGACCGTCCGCTGCAGCTTGGTGGCTGCGCGACCCCGTTCGTCTCAACTTCACCATGCAGGGTCAGGACGCTCTTATACATAACAGGAACAGAATACTCACTACAATGTCGGATGTCTAGGCTTCAACAAATACTACCCACCCGACTATGACCCGGAGAAGCATAGCAGCCTCAACTCGTATAGAGGTTCGTGACAAGCCAGGTCTATGTTACCCTGGTGCTGAACATATCGCTCTGCAGGCAAGCATGCACTTGGTGACCGAGCGCGAAAGATAGACCAAGGCATCCTCATCACACGCTTCGAGCTCCCCTTCAACATCTGGTGGTAAGTACCTATCGCGCTTGCTCTATGATACCCGCTAATGACCTCTCAGTGGGACATGTAATAATCACATCGGTATGGGCGTGCGCTACAACGCGGAGAAGAAGAAAATTGGAAACTACTATTCCACTATCATCTACTCCTTCCGCTGCAAGTGCCACCTCTGTGATGGCTGGTTCGAGATACATACGGACCCGCAGGTACGTCCGGCCACCATAATGTGCTCTGGAGCTCGGCTTATGTGGAACGCAGAACACGCGATATGTCGTAGTATCTGGTGCCAGGCAGAAGGATGAGGAGTGGGACCCTGAGGAGAACGGCGGCTACGCGGTGCACGGTACGTTCTTATTCCGTTCTTCCCGCTGCGCACAGCCCACTGAGCCACGTATGCAGAAACCGACCCAGACAAGGCCCCCCTCGACCCTCTCGCGGCCCTGGAGAAGTCAACCGATGCGCAGAACCACATGAACAACGTCCAAATACCCCGCCTCGAGGCGTTGCAGAACGTCTCCGACCACTACGGCTCCGACCCGTACGCCCACTCGCTGCGGGTGCGCAAGCGCTTCCGGGAGCAGAAGAAGATCGACAAGGCTCGCGAAGCGGCTGATGCGCAAATCAAGAACACATACGGGCTACCTGAGGCGCTCCCTCTCGCTGCCGAGGACGAGGAGACCAGGACGAAGGCGAAGGTGGAGTGGGAGCGGGCGCGGCTTGTGTTGGAAGAAGAGAACAGCGCAAAACGACGCAAGATCGGGGCTGAGATGTCCATCATGCCCAGCTCGAGCACCTCCCGGTTGTCGGCTCGGACAGCGCCGTCTAGGTCGAGCGGGAGCAGTGGGAGCGGCAGCGCTGTCAGTGCGTTGCGAGCAAAGATTCTTGGGAACACCGCGAGACAGAGTGCGTCAATAGGCGGGTTGAGCCGGGCGAAGCCTCCAGAGACGAAGACGAGAGGGGGGCTGGTGAAGCGGATCTGACCGTACACAAGCGTATATTGTATTTGTATTTGTAACCCGTGTAGCATAGTCCTGGAGGGAGGGTCGGCGCATCCTCTCTTGTACAACTGGTCATAGCAAGGTCATAGAACTCCTTCGTGAATTTGTACGAGGCCTGACACGAAACACATTTGATATCGTGCTATTCTCGATTCGCTACCACGATGCACCTAGTTCCGGGAGGGTTGAACTTGAGGCGCTCGCAACGAACTTGTTTACCATTTGTGTCAAAGGGGCCGCGATATTGCGATCAGTGGGCGCATGTTTGATCACATCGTCTAACCCGCAACCTCGTCCGCAACTTTTGCTAGACGTCTAATTCACGGTCGGTCCTCATTATGGTATGATGGACCGTTTCTCATTAGCTGCTACATAGCTAGAGTAGTGCCCATATTCATTCGAAAGGCTAATCCAGCATGGCTCCGACCAAGAACATCCCGATCACAGTCTTCACCGGTTTCTTGGGCGCGGGAAAGACGTCCATCATCCTGTCCCTGCTTCCACGCCTTCCGAAAGACTACAAAGTCGTCTTGCTCAAAAACGAGTTTGGAGATGTAGAAGGTGCGTAGACGTATCGCTCACGTATCATTTACTTCTGCTAATCATTGTATGAGCAGTTGACAGTCAGCTCGCGAAGCAGTCGAGCCTCGCCGCGGTCAGCGAAATTCTGAACGGCTGCATGTAGGTTACCCTCATCTTGGCCTTGAGAAAAATATAGCGCCAAAGCTACGGCGATACTGATATTCCGCACAGGTGCTGCGTTCTGGTCGGCCAGATGAAGAACGCCTTGCTAGAGATCCGAGGTGCACCTCAGCTCTCACACCTCCCCATCATGGCATTCGGGATGAGCAGCGCTGACTACCCTCCCTTCATTGTAGAAAAATTCAGGCCCGATAGGATATTCATCGAATGCTCGTGGGCCTTCCCCTCTCGCTCTGTGTCGGTAGCCCCACTCACCCGCATGCTCACCGTTGCAACGCAGGGGCTCCGCATTCCCCGCAACGCTCGCCTTCCAGATCCGCGAGCTCGAGCGCGAGACATCTGACGACCTCAAGCTCGACGCGATCGTGACCGTCATCGACGCCGAGAACTTCGCTGGCTACGAGGACACCTCCCCAACCGCGAAGATGCAAGCCAGCTACACTGACGCCATCCTCATCGTGTGTGCCTTCCCCTTTGCCCCCTCAAAGCCTATCCACTCACTCACACGGAACGCCGCAGAACAAATGGGAGCACATCTCCGAGCGCGCACTCGACCTGCTCATCGACCACCTCAACACGCTCAACGACACGACGCCCAAGATCAAGTGCCAGGGCCGCGCAGGCGTCGACCCCGCATTCATCCTCGGGCTCGACACGACGCTCTTCCAGCTCGAGGCGCGCGGCGACTTCCCCGGCGACGACACGCACCACGACGAGGTCGAGACCGTCACCCTCCTCAAGGGCTACACCCCAACACATGCTGTGCACACACATGGTACCGAGGGCGACGCCAATACGCTCACGCACGATGCGCCTGGGGACGCAACCGACGACACGCCGATAGCGGAGCAGCAGCTCGTCGACGCGCTCTCCTCTCTCTCGAAAGAGACCGTGTGGCGGGTCAAGGGCTTCGTGCGCCTGGAGCGCGGCCTGCACATCCTCAACTGGGCTTTTGGGAGGCACGAGCTGACGCCGTTCGACGACGATGCAGACAAGCACCGAGGGTCCATCAAACTGACGGTCATGGGCGAGCGAGGGGAGGTAAAGAGGGCGGCGCGGAAGTTGGCCGAGAAGATCGGAGCGCAGATGGTGTAGAAATGGCCGGATGTATGACCAGTAGACATGTATAACATCGGGGCTCGACACTGTCTCCTTAGCTTGTACCACACGAGTTTCGCACGTAGAACATAAATGTTTGAGGAAGGCATGGCGATTCAGGTTCGGAGCAACTCAAGGAAGCATTAGAATCCATGTATTATTCCAGGTGAGTAGGGATATCGAAGACGGTGTGATTAGTAGGGAAGAAATCCTGGGTATCGACGCACGTAAGGTGCGTTGCATCTCTAGCACCGTAATGACCACAACCTTAGAAACGGAGGTGGGCTGCACACTTCATTAGCCAAACAGAACGCCAGCAACATGCAGTGCAACACTCACCATCTATGTTGGTGATCGCGTCCAACTCCGAGTCGAGCAAGAAACGACGAACACGCTCTCCCTGGCTAGCAGAGATCGGCTGCAGCGTGAGCTGGCTCTTCCCCTCACCGTTCGCGACGCGGTACCAGGTATAATCCGCCGGCGCGCAGTCGTATGCGTCCTCGTACCACGTATAATCGTCCGCACGCCCACCAGGAGCGCGGCGCCTCGCCGCCCACGCGATGTAACGTAGACTCGGCATGACCTGCATGATGCGGTCTGGGAGCTCGGCGAGAGTCTGAATGTCGTCCTCGTGCCATGGCGCGTCCAAAGAATCGGCAGTCG